ATGACAGCTATCGAAAAAGACGCTTGCGGCAATCAATTCGCAAGGTCTAGAAGGACAAATCTCGTACCGTACAGCTGCAAAAATATATGGTGTTGCGGCATCAACTTTGACGCGTCGCCACCAAAACAAAACGCGGTCGCGTGCAGCCGCTGCACACCCACGACGACTACTCTCACCACAACAAGAGAAATACCTTGTCCAGCACATAGAAAAACTCTCTAAGCGTAATACTCTACCGTCCCAAGAGATAATTAAAAAATATGTTGCCAATATTGCAAAAAGACAGCCATCCAATAGCTGGGTTACAAGATTTCTTCGGCGGAACAGAGAGAAAATTATCACCAGAAACACCGCCGGCATCGACCAAAACTGCAAAAAAGCTGACGATTTTAAAGATTACTATAATTACTTCCGTCTAATTCACGATTATATCGAGAAATACGATATCCAGCCGCAAAATATCTATAATATGGACGAAAAGGGCTTTCTCCTTAGTGTCACTTCAAGGACCAAAAGGGTGTTCTCCAAGAGACTTTGGGATGAAAAGAAAGTTCGAGCAGCTGTTAGAGACGGCAGCAGGGAGTAGATAACAACTTTAGACTATATTTGTGCTAACGGGAGCTAGATATCGCCTATAATAATCTCTAAAAGCAAAGCTGGACTTCGAAACAACTAGGTAGAGCACCTAGATCCTTCCCAACACCAGATGTTTTTTGCTACCAGCGACTCGGGCTGGAGTAACAATATCCTAGGGCTATCTTGGCTTAAGCAGGTGTTTCAGCGCCAAACGAAAGACAAAGCAAAGCGCGATTATCAGTTGCTGATCCTAGACGGTCATGGGAGTCATCAGACTCCAAGTTTTCGAGAGTTTTGTGACTCTAACAGGATTCTCCTAGCTACTCTCCCTCCCCACTCATCTCACCGACTCCAGCCACTCGACGTTGGCATGTTCAAGCCCCTCTCGAGCGCGTATACCAAAGAACTTAATAGTCTGTCCCACCGCAGTCAAGGCTTGGTGGAGGTGCACAAAAGTGACTTTTTATGGTTATTTTGGGCGGCGTGGACACGGGCGTTCACGTCTAACAAGATACTAAGCTGTTTTTGAGCTACTGGCGTCCACCTGCAGGATGGTAATGCCGTGCTTAAACATCTTAAAAAGTCAACACCACAACAAGATATTAATCCAGAACTTAGAGAGCACGGTAATGGGGATACTGCAAGAGAGCTGTCTAATTTTCTAGACAAAACTATGACGGGTTGTGCTGAAGTTATGGTCTCTGCGGTGAAAGACACCATTGCTTCACTCTAGGTCAACAACGAGATTTTGCACCACGAAAACACTAATCTACGAGAAGTACTTGCTATCAAAAATCATCTAAAGAAGCAAAAGAAGCCTCTAGAGCTCCAGCAAAGCAAGCAGTATCATACTCCGGCGGTGGTGTGGAGTCCTAGGACAATAGAAGATGCGAGAGCTCAAGAACGTCAAAAAAAACACCAAGAAGAGCTTGAAAAACTCCAAAAAAAAGAGAAACAACAGGAACGAGCTGCTAGTATAGCTCTACGAAAAAAATTAATAGACGAGGCAAGGACTGCGCGGGAGTTGAAGAAAATAGCGAGGGATAAAGAGAGAGAAGTGAGGGCCAAAGAACTCCAGTTAAGACGCGCCCAAAAAGCTCGCGATCGCGCAGTTGCAACTTCAAAAAAAGCTCGCGATAAGCAAAATATA